ATCTCTTCGTTTGTTCTCCGCTATTAGTGACTTTGGAGTGACTCTTTGTTGCATGTTGAGGGATAATTATATGATCCAATTATGTTATTGTTGTTGAGAGAATTTGCACTAGTGAAAGTATGAACCCTAGGCCTTGTTTCCTAGCATTGCAATACCGTTTACGCTCACTTTTACCACTTGCTACCTTGCTGTTTTTATATTTTTTCAGATTACAAAAACCTTTATCTACCATCCATATTGCACTTGTATCACCATCTCTTCGCCAAACTAGTGCACCTATACAATTTACCATTGTATTGGGTGTGTTGGGGACACAAGAGACTCTTTGTTATTTGGTTGCAGGGTTGTTTGAGAGAGACCATCTTCATCCTATGCCTCCCACGGATTGATAAACCTTAGGTCATCCACTTGAGGGAAATTTGCTACTGTCCTACAAACCTCTGCACTTGGAGGCCCAACAACGTCTATAAGAAGAAGGTTGTGTAGTAGACATCAAGCTCTTTTCTGGCACCATTGTTGGGGAGGTTAGCGCTTGAAGGTATATCTTTAGATCTTGCAATCGAATCTTTTTGTTTCTTGTTTTATCACTAGTTTAGTCTATAAGAGAAAATTACAAAAAAATGTAATTAAGGTTACCTCATATGCTTCATCTTTTTAATATCTTTCATGAAAATAAGGATTCCGATAATTGTGCCAAAGTGTTAGAAGAAGAATGCATTAGAATGTTTGGCACTAAATCTTTGTATGATGAGCATGATTGCAATGTTGTTAGTACGAACTCTTTGAATATCCATGATACTAATAATGATTGCACTAGTCATGATGAAAATGTCTCTTATAAGCATGTCAATTTTTGTGGAGTGCATAGAGTTTGCAAGTACACACCAAATAGGGAAGATAGATTTTGCAAGAGGCATAAGTATTTAGAAACTAAATGGTTGCAAGAAAGGCTAGATGTTTGTGCTGAAAATTTAAATTTTCTTAGCCATCCTTGTGAACTTTGCAATGAACGTGGTCATTTAAATATCCAATGCAAATTGTTTCATGATCGAATCGTGTCCAAAAATTGTGATGACTTGATTTCCCTTGCACATCATAATGAACTTAGCTTGCTTTTGGGTTATGAAGAAATGAAACGTATAACTAAGGATATTCTAGAATTTGCCCTTGATAAAGTTCTTGATTTTGATCTAAAGGAAATTTATATGTATTGTGCGGTGAATTGCATTGAAAATCCTTATATTGCCAATTATATAAAGACAAGAAAACAAATAGAAGATGAAGAGAATACTAATGAAAGGGAAGAGACCTCCCAATATCCTCCTATTATTTCTTATGATGAATCAGGTAACGAGAAGGAGCCTTCTATTCAACCAATCTCATTAATAAGGAGCTCCAAAAAGAGGATTAAACCCAAATATGATGTGGAGAAGAAAAAGAAAAGACGGAGAAGCAAAGGTAAAAAGGCATCCTTCCCAAATGATGTTGCTCCGATTACTCATTGTGATGATGATAATTGCTATATTATTGGTGCTATCCATACTATCAACGATGAGTGATTATGCTTATGATATTAAAAGGCCCAAGCTTGGGGATGCTATATTTGATGAGAATGACATGTTTGAGAATGTATTTGCTGCAATTAATGTTTGTCCAAAGCTTGGGGATGCTATGATTAATGAAGATGATATTTTTAGTCTCCCAAGTGTTGACGAGTAAATTTATTATGATGATAGCATGCCTCCTATTTATGATGATTATATTGATGAAAATGGGTTTGGAAGAGTGTCAACTTTAGGAAGTAATGATCCCACTATTTTGGAGGGTGTTGAATCTTATTATGACAATTATAAAAGTGGATTTGGAGAGGTCATGACTTTATTTAGTAATTATTCCACTATCTTGGAAGAGGTTTCGATCGATTATGATGAGAACAAAGTTGCTACTTATGATAATTATTGTGATGATACTTATGCTATAAAAAGTAGTGATGATTATATTTATAAAACTTGTCATGATTATGATTACCGTTTTTCTGAATTTTATTCTTTCAATGTGAATTTTATTCTTTCAATGTGAATTTTATTCTTTCAAGTAAAGCGTCGTGGGGGATCTACGTGTGAAGCGGAGTACATAGCTGCTTCGGAAGCAGTAAATGAAGGAGACTGAATGAAGGAGTGCATATCCGATCTAGGTGTAATACCTAGTGCATCGGGTCAAATGAAAATCTTTTGTGACAATACTGGAGCAATTTTCTTAGTGAAGAAATCCAGATTTCACAAGAGAACCAAACACATCAAGAGACGCTTCAACTCCATCCGCGACCAAGTCAAGGAGGAATACATAGAGATTTGCAAAATACATACGGATCTGAATGTTGCAGACCCGTTGACTAAGCCTCTTCCATGAGCAAAACATGTTCAACACCAAGACTTCATGGGTGTTAAAATCATTACAATGTAATTTAGATTATTGACTCTAGTGCAAGTGGGAGACTGAAGGAAATATGCCCTACAGACAATAATAAAGTTGTTATTTATATTTTCTTATATCATGATAAATGTTTATTATTCATGCTAAAATTGTATTAACCGAAAACTTGTTACATGTGTGAATACATAGACAAAACAAAGTGTCACTAGTATGTCTCTACTTGACTATCTGTGTGCGGTGCGGTGCCCCCTCCACAGTTTACTCCTCCGGTCATATTGTCGTAGTGCTTAGGCGAAGGCCTGCGCGAATCACATCGCCATCACCGTCACCACGCCGTCATGCTGACGAAATTCTCCCTCGACACTTTGCTGGATCAAAAGTTCGAGGGACGTCATCGAGCTGAGCGTGTGCTGAACTCGAAGGCGCCGTACGTTCGGTACTTGGTCGGTTGGATCGCGAAGACGTTCGACTACATCAACCGCGTTAACCTAACGCTTCCGCTTTCGGTCTACTAGGGTACGTGGACACACTCTCCCCCTCTTGTTGCTATGCATCTCCTAGATAGATCTTGCGTGTTCGTAGGAAATTTTTTAAAATTACATGCTACGTTTCCCAACACCACGTTTGGAAAAAAACCGTTACTTGGCCAAGCCATGAACATCTGTAAATTATTGTATGAACAGGCTAACCTGAAGATTGATTGGACAGACTAGTGTGAAGAAAAATTGTTGAAGTCTGGCCCCATGAATGGTTAAGTGTGCTAAAAAGAAAATCTTGAATTGTATTGCTGATGTACCATGGATGATGGTCTCAGGCAGTAATTAGCATCCATACCGGATGCCCAGTCACTTGAAAATGGACGACTCAGTGAGGCTCACCACAACTCTCAAGTTTCAAGGCCAAGCCGGCTCTCCCTGTCCAAAACAACAAGAAAACAATTTCTCCATGAATCTTGGCAGGCACCAGGCCAGACACGCTGTGACGAGGACATGAACCAAACAAACCATTCGTGCCGAACGATCTCATGCCAAGTGAGGGGAAGAAACTGAGGGTGCAAACCAAACAAGGTCTAGGCTAGCTTTAGGTTTCACTCTAGCCAGAGAAATATCTATCAGGATGGCAAGCAAACAACCAAATGGTTCCAGCAAATCCATCGAAATATGACATGGGAGCAAACATTCAGAAATAGCCAATGGGTCTCGGGTCCCGTTCGCATCCAAATTGAAAAAATAAAAAATATATCAAAAAGACTAATATTTTTAAACTTTTTTGTAACAAACATGATTTAATATTGTCGTGATATCCATTCGAGGGGAGTAGATTGGTTTAGTAACCACATATCTCAATCACGAACCGAAGTCAGTCTTCATTACACTTTGTTTGTTGTTCTGTTGTTTTTGGTTTGCCCCATGTATTTATTTGCCTTGTGTTAATATCAAGTGAAAAGTCTCCCGATGGCCTTTCTAGACATACATTTTTTTGAGAATACCACGAGAGTCATTCCTCGGCGATTTTTTTCACATGAGTATTTCATAGGTTGCAAAAAAGTTTCATAATTTTTGACTTCTTTTTTGTTTTTTCTAAATTTGTTTTTCCATTTTGGGGGCATCGGCCTCCATCTTTCAAAGATCGGCGTCCAGCAAACATTTGGCTAATACTTCCTTCGACCGGGTTTATTAGACCCTTTTTATTTAAGCCAAAGTTTGACCATGAATTCAACTAATAAAATATAAACTATATATCACAAAAATTATACCTTTGAAAACCGTTTTCAAATACAAATCATACAATATACTTTTTATACGATGTACTTTATGTATTTTCTGTTACATGATCAAAATTAGACTCAAAGTACAAAGTGGCCTAATAAACTCGGACGGAGATACCGCGGTCGGTCTTGTTGGTTAAATTTATGATTAAACTTAAATCTTAAAAAGCGCGGGCGCACTATATTATGTAATGAATGGGAGTAGTACTTACTACCTCCGTCCTGATTTATTAGCCCCCTTTGTAATTTGTGTCAAATTTTGATCATAAATTTAATTAATAAAATGTTAATGCATGTTATTAAAAAAATTATATCGTTAGATTCCTATTTGAACATAGTTTTTATTGATATAATTTGCGATGACATGCATTGATATTTTATTAGTTAAATCTATGATTAAAATTTAACACTGAATATGAAGGAACCAATAAACCAGGAGGGAGTTAGTAACAGTTTGTAATTTACAAACACACGCAATCAGTGTAACACATTCAACGACTTGTCTCGCCGACGTAGCTTTGTCCTGAGCCGTCAGTCCGCCCCAATGCCCAGATGCACTTCTGAATTCTGACTTCTCTACGATGCATGTTGTTCACACCAACTCCCTAGGGTTTTAGTTCAACCAGGCCAAAACCTCCACGCCGCCGCCGCCGAAAATTCCTAGGCGGCGATGGCCATGGCCCGGCGTTCCGCCTCCCACCTCCTATCCTCCTTCCGCCCATTCTCCCTCCTCCTCCAGCCCCTCGCCGACGCCCCCTCGCCCGCGGCCGCGGCCGCAGCGGCGTCGGCCCGCCGGGCGATGTCCTCGGCGTCGGCTCTGCGGGCGCGGGGAGACGACAAGGAGTTGGCGCGGTGGCGCGAGTCCATGGATCGGATGCGGAACATCGGTATCTCCGCGCACATCGACTCCGGGAAGACGACGCTGACGGAGCGGGTCCTGTACTACACCGGCCGGATCCACGAGATCCACGAGGTGCGTGGCCGCGACGGCGTCGGCGCAAAGATGGACTCCATGGACCTCGAGCGCGAGAAGGGCATCACCATCCAGTCGGCAGCTACCTACTGTACCTGGAACGGATACCAGGTCCATTTCTCTCCTCTTCTCGCTCATTCTTGTAGCTGATCCATTTCCCTCTTCTGATCACTATTGTTTTATTCCTGGTTAAAGAAAATTGCATTGGGGTTTGAGTTAATGTCCAATCATATGACAAATCAACTGTGAAATAATAATGCTGTTACCTAACGCCATTCCAACATTTGGGGCTAACTGTAACTGTTTTTTGTTAATCAGTACGAGGCAGATAGCACATGTAACCTTGTTTCCTTTAAGCACTAACATATATGGTTGAAAAGCTTAATTGGCTGGTGTGCAAGGTCATACACCAAACGCTACGATATTTGGTAACTGATTAGCAAAGCTTATTCTCTCCTGGATATATCAATTTTTAGTTTTAACTAACATGTGGTATGTGTACGAACTCAAGTATTAACCTGTCACATGGAATTTAAATATTTAAACCAAGCTGACCAATATTTATGCCTCACACTAATATTTATGTTTTATTTATCATAAGTGGACAATAATTAGTTGCCATACTACTATTCATTAGTTGCAATTGAACCTATGCAATTTCGTGTTTTCACTCTGTCCTTGTAATCATTTTGATATTCCATCGAGCTCTTGAACCAGATCTTTCCTCTTTGAGTACCGCAGAAGTATATTGCTGCCGTAGCTTTGGTGTTTCTAGAATGCGCATCATGTTAAAGTGGTCTAGTCAACAATTTTGAGGCTGTAGATTTGTGCCAGCAAGGTGTTCCCTACAATTTATTGCTGCTTCTCAGGAGTTAGGTATATAAAGATGGGGGCTAATTTAACTAGGTTGGCTGTTGGCTTTTGCTTTCTCCACAGCATGTCCAGGCAATATGAAATGTGAGAAGAAAATTTTAAAAACCATCAATCAAGAATACTATGTGATGTCATTCATGCAATTGCAAAAGAAAAAGATGCAAGGAGAATGTGATTGGTGGTTTCATTCTTAAACACGTCAGCATTGTTGATGCCACAAATGAAGTAGCCCCATTAACTATACCAAAACCGTGGTCAGGCGAGGAATGGAGCAAATGGCAAATATCCACATGATAGAGATGTAAATTGCCGAACATGGACGAGTTGCCAGCCACTACCAAATAGCCATTATTCTTGTTCAAGTGGAGTACCACATGTGAATTCTCCCGAGCCATTATTAGTGGAGACGTAATTGCTTCATGACAGTAGACCATTTGAAAGAATCAAAGGAGTGGTTTTGATAGACATCTATTTCATGGCAAGTGGCAACTATCGATGTGGGTTGAATGAGCTACCCGAGTCAACTCGTGCTAGTCCCACCCGCTTCTTTAATAGCTGTTTCCCGGAACACAGCTCCCCCTGCCACTGGGCTTCAAACTAGGATCTGTGGGTTGGGGTCAGTATGATTGGTTGAAGCAGATACACCAAAACCATGCATGAATCTAGTACCAGTAGAACTTTAGAATTGCCCCCCCAGAAGCAACCTTTTTTGTTGTCATGTATACAACCATTGATCACTATCCCTTGTATTGTCTTGTCTGAATGCTTTTGTTTTGACCCATCTTACACTGTTCTTGTGTTCCATCGTTGCAGATTAATATCATCGATACCCCAGGTCACGTGGATTTCACTGTTGAGGTTGAAAGGGCCCTCCGTGTTCTTGATGGTGCTATACTTGTGCTATGTAGTGTTGGTGGTGTACAAAGTCAATCGATTACTGTTGATCGACAAATGAAAAGATATGAAATTCCAAGGGTTGCATTTATTAACAAGTTGGACCGCATGGGAGCTGATCCATGGAAAGTTCTCAACCAGGTGAGCATGAGTCTGACTTCTGTGGTCTATATGCACTGATGCTCTCTCATGATACTAAGAGGGGTGAGAGGCTTATGCAAAATGTCCCTTCTCTCTTTTCATGCTGGATTTTTCCCTCGTGGTGGAAGTGGGTAAAAGTCTGTGTTATCATTTCATTCCATGTCTTTATGTTGTATTTTCTGTGAGGACACACTTCTGTATGCCATGTTAGTATTGTACTGCTAGCTTAGTATTCTTATCGTGTTTAACACAGGGAAGGTGAAGGCAATAAATACTCTTCCTATTGCATTTGAATTCTGATGAAGTAGCAGTCAAGTATTTGCTACTTTGCTTTGCACTGAAGTGCTATCTGAAATGCACTGACGTCCTGGGTTCATTTCGAATATTTTATGCCCTTCATTGCTAAATCAGCTCATCTTTTATCTTGCATCCAGTTTAAAAATTCTTTTTGGAAGTACAAGGTATGGGTTAGGCGGTTCAAAGTAAAAGGGGAAAACAAGGACTTCACAAGTGCAAGGGCTGGCTTTGCATTCTTTTTTAGTATCTGCAATGTGGACCAAGCTTACATCTTAATGCTAGAGTTGCTGCATTTTGATATTACTGGAAATCATCATTCTTGTGCTTATTTTAAGGCTAGCCATTTTTTTCTGATAATTTTCAGTTTTTATAGTTCCGTGAGGTGACTTGCACTTGTCTGTTGTTGCTATCAGTTTCTATAGCTGAATTTTGCTTTTGTGTTCTATTGAAGGCTCGGGCCAAACTACGACACCAGAGTGCAGCTGTACAAGTGCCGATAGGATTGGAAGAGGAGTTTGAGGGCCTTGTTGATCTTGTGGAGTTGAAGGCTTTGAAGTTCGAGGGTGGAAGTGGGTGTGTCCCTGTTCTTACAAGCATTTAGTTGTGAGGGTTATTGGTATCTGGAATCTCGGATGACACATTGTTTGTAATGTGCAGACAGGAGGTTGTTACATCTGATGTCCCATCCAACATGCAAGATTTTGTAATGGACAAGAGACGTGAACTTATTGAAGTTGTTTCAGAAGTCGATGACCAGCTTGCAGAAGCTTTTCTTAATGATGAGCCAATAACAGCTAATGAGCTTAAGGTTCATCCAACTTCCATTATTATTTTCTGTTGTTTCTATATGCGTATATACCATTTCATGAAATGACTATATAAGCATACAATCCATCTGAAAATTATTCCAGATTGTAGCTACATCTTTTAAAACGGATGTAACTGTAGCTGCTAAAAGCAACCTTTTTGAAGGAATAGAACGATTTTACCCCCTTGAATATTGCAGTTTGTGTGATTAAATATTGCCTTTGGTGTCTTATTTTCTTTTCGACCAGGCTGCTATCAGAAGGGCAACAGTAGCGCGCAAGTTCATACCAGTTTACATGGGAAGTGCATTCAAAAATAAGGTCCATGACTGCATTTTCCGTTCTTTATCTGGTTCTTTTTCATTTACTAGCTAAATTCTCGGACGTTGTTTTTTGTTATAGATTATTGCTAGTTGTTTAAAAGCTTGTCCCACCATAGTCCCTGAGTTTTCGTAAAATAAAGTTTTTATCTCAAAATATACATTAATCGAATCAACTATATATGTCCTCGATAGAATGGATGACAACTGTGGCAATTCCTAGTAACTTGGGTGGATGGAACGCCACGAACTTAGATCTTTATAAGAGGTAAAGATTTACAGTTTCATGTGTCTGTAATACTGAAAAGGACACAACCTTATTTAATTTGTATTAATAATATAAGAAGTAAACTTATAGTCTCTCTCTTTGCAAATAGACACTGTTATGGACATGGGGCACGGGTCTACAGTTTCCAACATGCAACTTACTCTTACTACTATTATGAATATGCTAGTAAAAATAGAAAATAACACTGCTTTCAAAATATTTTTCATAAGAAACTACTGATGCCATTTTCACTTCACTCTAAACTATTTTCCCATATGCACGAGTTGAAGTCAGAGAAGTTCAATCACACACTTTCTAGGAGGATGTCATCTATTTACAATGCAAGAATGGTTACAATTTAAGACTAAGCGCCCAAGAAATGTTACTTTGAGTTTGAGAAAGTGAAATCTTGTTGGAAGATCCGAAGATGTGCTAGGAAGCTAGGGTTTTTCACACGGGCCTTTATCGACCAGATCTGAGTCACCATTTTCCCTGTGCCATCACCTGGACCTGCGATGGCTGTTCTCGATCTTCACCGAGGCAACCTTGCTCTCGATCTCAAAATTCCCAATGCCTCTGTGTTCCAGCCTTGGTGTCGAGCTCATCTGCTGCTGTGGCCTCTTCTTGAAGTGCCACCCTTGCGGCCTCGCCTTCAAGCCCCAACCAAAGCTCTACTCTGTCCCCTTGCAGTGCAGTTCCTAGGTGGCTGGCGCAAAACTAAATACCGCTCGATCAAAACTAAAGAAAAAGATTCAAGAATAACATTTGACAAAATGATCAGCATAAAATGTTCAATTAAAGAGAAGATTTGATACAACAGTTTGATTACTTAATCAGTCAGCAGTATTTCTGGAGTAAGGCACATTGTTGCAAACAATCAAAGGCATACAACCTTGCTGCTATTTTAAGTGTTACAAAACTAGGCATTTGTTTTATGTCTTCTTTTACGATGTCGTCTATCATGTATGAATGTCTGAGATCTTTGTAGCCACCAATCCTCATCGTGTAATCTTGCCTGGAGTATAACTGTTCTTAGGGCCTTGTCAATTCCAGGGGACCGTCCTTAAGCACTAAATGGAGCACAATACTGTGATTAAGCAAACAGCAAACATGAAATACTGACGTTTAAGAACTAGGACTGTGATAGTCAGATCCATTTTACTATTTGTAATTACCTTATACTGGGTCGTTGGAGTACTGTAGATTAAACACTGCTCTCATGCATGCACTTCATGCAAGTCATTAGAGCCTGACTTTAAAGAAGTGTAGAAAGATAGTAACATAATTGAGCCTTTGCTTTGCGTTTGTTCTCTCCCTTTGCCAGCACAGTTATAGAACAGATAGCCATATTGCATGTCAACAACATAGAGGTGTACGGTACCTATTCACATCGAGAATGATCACATTAAGATTGTGTATTGTACTGATTGTCATACTTTGGTGGTTTAGGTGTAGATAAGATTGTTCACAGTCATGAGCACTCTTGCACTAGTACTTGTGTAAGAACCTGCAGTTAGCATCTGTATTGTACTATTGTTAATGCTAGGTTGCTATACAACAAATTTCCTGTTGGTGTTCCATTGCTTACAGTTTTGATCTTTTTGACTGGTTTTATAGGGTGTTCAACCTCTTCTTAATGGTGTGCTTGACTATCTACCCTGCCCACTGGAAGTTGAGAACTTTGCTCTTGACCAAAACAAGTCAGAAGAGAAGGTAGAACACGGTTTCCACAATACATTTAATATAGTAGATATGGAACATAGGTTTCCCTTTATGCGCTTCCATCTTCCACCACTCATCCTAAAAAGCCAGAAGTGAGGAGAGATGGAAAGCATGTAAAGTACTCCCTCCGTCCCATAATGTAAGATGTTTTTTGACTCTACACTAGAGTCAAAAAACGTCTTACATTATGGGACGGAGGGAATAATAAAATGTGTGAAGTTTTATGTGAGTAAATAGCGTTTGTACCGTATCTGCCTGTTATGCTGATGAAGCTGTTATTTTCTTTTATTAGCTTTCATAACGAATTGCCACCTGGCTTGATGGTTAGGTCTCATTATCTGGAACTCCAGCTGGTCCACTTGTGGCATTGGCCTTTAAGCTTGAGGAAGGCCGTTTTGGTCAGTTGACATATCTAAGGTGATTGTGGATCTTCTACGAACTGATTTTGTTGCATTATCATGCATTGTTATTCTTATTGGACACGGGTATTATTATTTTACTTCTCAACTAATTATTTCTTACTGCACGTCTAGAATCTACGAAGGTGTGATTCGGAAGGGTGACTTCATACAGAATGTGAATACAGGAAAAAAGATCAAAGTAAGACCCAGACTTAATCCCAAGTCCCAGCAAGGACGTTGAAGCTGTAGTTGCCGAATTACCATACTGTTCTTTCAGCACACTTGTTTAACAATTGGCAATGCCAATATTTTATATTTTGAGGGGCATACTATATATTGATCTATGAGGAAATTAGAGGGATTTACTTTAATCAAAGAGAAAAAAGGTTAAATAGTACTCTCTCTGTCCCAAAATAAGTGTCGCACAAAAGTTGACTACTAAATCAGCGACACTTATTTTGGGACGGAGGGAGTAATATTCAAAATAGTGTACTACAGTGCTCTTGGCTTTTAACAATGTATCCTATAGAGCTGTTACGGTTGTGAGTCTGACCAGTCTGGTGAACATACTGCCATGCTACAGCAGAAGAAGAAAAAGTTGACTTTATGTAACTTATTTGTTTTTTGTAATTATATTTAGTATGGTAGTTGCAATATTGCATATTTGTGTTGGTAAACTAAGCGTAGATGCTTTGGCATGACATTTCATAACTGCACATCATTTGCCTGGTTTCAAATCTAAATCTGAATATGTTACAGAACATTGGTTCCAACTAATAAAGCCTAAATATTACAGAACATTGATTCCTACTATTTAAGCCTAAAATTTCCATAGAAAATAGTAATCATATCAGGAGAGCAATAGATGCCTTCAGTTTGATATATCTTAATTTTGCCTTTACTTTTTATTGTTGGTTGCGGGAATTTCAAAAGGTTTGCCTTCTCTGATCTAAGTGCTGTTAACTGTGTCTAGGTTCCACGATTAGTAAGGATGCACTCCAATGAGATGGAGGTAAGTTGCATGTTATGTTGAAGTTAACGCTTGAAAAATCAACTGTTCGGATCAAAATCGATGGCCATTCTTTACTATAAAATCAATTTGTTGGCTAGTATCTTAATTCTTTGCGGTCAATATAGGATATTCAAGAAGCACATGCTGGCCAAATTGTTGCTGTGTTTGGTGTTGATTGCTCGTCAGGTAAATTATTAGCAACGTAATATTCAGAATCTTTTCTGTGCAGTACCTTTTCCAGGTTATGCTACCATCTTTTGGATTTCTTCAGTGCCTGATTCCCTGCTTTTTGCATCAACAGGTGATACATTTACAGATGGGTCGGTCAAATATACTATGACTTCAATGCATGTCGCTGAACCTGTGATGTCCTTGGCTGTTAACCCGATATCTAAAGATTCTGGAGGACAAGTAACTCATCTGTTGTTTTAAAGATCCATGTGTCATATTTTATATCTTAACTTTGTTGAATAATTAATTACTGTAACATTTTAGTTTTCAAAAGCACTGAATCGATTCCAGAGAGAAGATCCTACTTTCCGTGTAGGTCTGGATCCAGAGAGTGGACAGGTTTGTTCTTCCATCCATTATGTTTGCTTTATTCTATTATTATTGTGTATTTTCTAAAGTGTACTTTGTACTTGCAGACAATTATTTCTGGTATGGGTGAGTTGCATTTGGATATCTATGTTGAACGCATCAGGAGAGAGTACAAGGTACACAAACAATTAGTTCAAGGACATACTTGGTTTCCCCTCTTCACTCAAAGTTTGCTATATGAGCTGCACTGTTAACTGTTGAGTAAATCCTTGTCTCGTTTGCTTTATGAGCTAGTTCAGACGTTGCAGCCTATTTTATTTTTTCTTTGTTTCAAGGTGTGTTTGGTTTGGGAACGAAGTGGAATATAATGTCATGGTTCTATTCCACTGGAATGGGTTGGTTCTGTTCCCATGTTTGGTTGGGGATATTTGGTAGAATAAAATCATTATGTTTCAGTGTTTCGTTTGAGAGATAGAACGGAATGAATTCAGCACCTCTTGCATAAAAACGGTGAGGTTGCCTCTCACGTGCACATATACAATATGAACAAGTATCGAGTATTTTGCCCAAACATGGCATAGTTTTGCTCAAACAGACAGAGGACCCATTATATTTTACTTTGAATTGTACTTCACATTGAATACTTACATTGAGTTGTTTCTCAATCGAGAAAAATTGCTCATAGATAGGAGGTCCATCCTGCCGACGGAGACCTGATCTGTTAGGGGACGGCGTGCAGGAAGCATTGGTTGCCGCTGTTGCACCCGGCGGTGAGGCAGTGGTCGCGTGGGAGAGGTGGCCGTTACAGCCCCCGGAAGGTTAGGCCACCGTCCTCCCCGGCAGATCAGGTCGCCGCCCTCACGGCAAATCAGGTTTCTGCCTGCCCTAGCAGATCAAGTCGCCACCGCCTGGTCCCTAGCAGATCAGGTCTAGTCACTGGGGAGAGGAGCAGCCGGCGGCATGGATCGATGGAGAGGAGCAGCTGGCGGCAGAGTACGAGAGAAGGGAGAAGCGATAGGGTCTTGTGTGAGAGAGGGAGAGGCGATAGGTGAGTGCGAGGCGAGGCAGCGTTCCGTGTTGTTCCATCGATTTGGAGGAATGACTCGGTTACGGATCTGGGCCGAATATTCCCTTAAGAGGGAACGAGTCGGTTCTGGTTCTAGCTATTTACCAAACACAAGAATGAGGCCCAAGTATGGGTCGGACCCATTCCATTCCACTTGGTGACTCCTACCAAACACACTTGATCTGTTCTATTCTTGACAGCGTGGAAAGCTCATTTGCAGTTTTGGCTTGGCTTGGGCATGGGCTGCAAACAGCTACACAACCTAATTTTTGCATTCCCATATTGCTTAAATTAACTCCTCAAGATACTGTTATACTCCCTCCGTCCCAAAATTCTTGTCTTAGATTTGTCTAAATACGGATGTATCAAGTCACGTTTTAGTATTACATACATCCGTATCTAGACAAATCTAAGACAAGAATTTTGGGACTGAGGGAGTATTAGTGTAGGTTTAGTTTTATTCTCATATATCGTCTTATCCTTGAACATATGTCATATACTCTGTCTGTTCTAGGTCAACACTCTTCAAGGTGGTACTTTGATCATTAATTTCTATAGCATACATTAGTAAATATTCACTGTTGGGAATTAGCAAAAAATCAAGCATAGTTTTCAGTTATCATGTTATGGGTCAAGATAATTTTGTATATGCTGATGGTCAAAACTTGCTCTGTTTAACTACACTGATTATAAAATATCATTTAGAAAAGAACGAAGTAGTACTCCCTCCGCTCCATATTGATTAGGTATTGTAAATGTTGATATTTTTCTAAAAAAATGGCAAACTTTGTACTTGGCCAAATCTATATATCGGTTCGGTAATGTGTATGTTGATATTTTTTCTCTAGATAAGCTTGGTCAAACTTTACATAGTTTGACTTGGACAAAATCTATATGCACTATATTTGGTAATGGAGGGAGTAGTAATGGATAAATTGTTCCACCTCTAGGAAACACATTCCATCCATTTAACCGCAGTGTTCTAACTAGTGCAAGACACCAGGTTGGCAGCAGCAAGGAGCCAAGGCGGCTGTACAACAACAATTACAGACGGTTAAAACGTTATGCTTCATCAAAACAGATATACGAACTAGAAGTTCTACAATCAGAGTTGAAACAAACCTTATTTTCCAAGTGAATAGGCATCCAAGTTTTTTGGTCCTTTATCTCTAATTCTTCTTAACACCAATGTAAGTACTTGGCGGCGCTATGGAAATTTAAAAGCGGCAACCTAGGCTGTTCGTCAAGAAGACTGAAAGTCACCTCCTTTAGATAGCACTTCTTCCGAATCTTGCTCATCAAGAGAGGCTAGCAAGCTCAAAACACCCACGCCAAATGTGGCTGCATTTTGCACACCACTAGGTCTATTCCCATTTTCAAAGTACTAAAGGGAAAAACATGGTCGGGAGGGGAAGCTTAAAAGTTAGATCTAGAAGTATGAAAGATGGGACTGCATATACGGCTCTTCACTACCACTCCCATAAAAAATGAAAGAAATGAAGAGAAAGCAAGGCTGATGGATGCGATAGGAAGAATGGCAGTACGGTATCTGCTGGAGCTTCATAGCCGAAGTGCCACTGTGGCCACATGTGAGACCCCATTGCCGTCACATCTTCTCTCTGTCCGTGAAGTGTCCAGTCTGGAGCCAGAGTCCTGAAAGGAATTAGGGTTGGGTGCTTCTATGTGTTGCTACTGGGCTGGGCCATATTGATGACATGTCCTTGTTATAACCCGCCAAGAGCAGACATCCCATATGTTCATGTATTGTGTTCCTAGTGAACACTACATTTCAGAGTTCAGAAATATTGCTGCGTGCCTGCTTTATTGAGCTTCTTTGATATGCTTCTGTGTTGACAATCATTAAGCGCATGATATTCTTACGATGAATGTTTATGTCTGACTCACGGCACACTTGTATATGTTGAAATTGAATAGATGTAACATGTTTTAACTCATGTAGGTTGATGCAAAGGTTGGGAAACCTCGTGTGAACTTCCGGGAATCGATCACCCAGCGTGCTGAATTTGATTACTTGCACAAAAAGCAATCTGGTGGTCAAGGTCAATATGGGCGAGTTTGTGGGTGAGTTCATTCAAATTAGATAATTATCTGCAACTTAATGTCCATTACTTGCTTTTATCTCATTTTTTCCGGTTCCGGAAAGTTATTATTTTGTGATGCATATATATGGGACACCTGCTGTTAATACATGTTTTAGCTGCGTCGTTACTGGATATATTCCTACTCCCTATTCCCACTTGTAAGACGAGTATTGGATGGTGTGGAAAGTGTTGCTGGAGTAGAACAAGGTTGGAGCCGCACCCTGGCACTGTAAGTTGCCTCAAGGGAGGCTGGATACCTAGGGCCAGCAAATATCAATGAACGTAGTAATCCAGCCACTTCATATAATGTCATGGAAGATACTTCACCCACATGGAGAATGTAAGAACACTTATAATAATGTTTTCACCAGTGTGGAAAGCTTCCACCATTATAGAATACTTACCCTTACCTTTTAAAATTTTCAGTTTGGTGATGACATGTTCTCTTTAGTCGTTAATTAGTATTCGAAATTTGTAACTTCCAAACGTTCGTATTTTGTGATTAGATCCGAACGATCCGATCCCGTCCGATCTGGATTCCCCACCCGCGCGATAATTACTCTCGTGATCCGGATTTCCCGCGCATAGCCAGGAGATCTTCTTGTTAATCCCAGTGCGCTTGTGCAAAAATAAAGCATGAAGTGGGATTTGAGCCCACGACCTCCCTCTTGAATCGCATGGTCTCAACCACCTTAGCTAACTCTTTTCTACGTTAGGATGTAGATTAGTCTTGCCCTTATACTTTAGTATATGCGAGTAAAATAAACAACAACGAATCAAGACCACTGCATTGAAATTTTGGCGCAATAACCAAGTTACGTTTGCCTTAGTTTTTGTCACAAACTATTTTTTAATCTTATTTAACTACTTTAGTATTAGTAAACAGCAAATGTTTCATAACTAATCTTTTATCTGCGTGAACTTTTGTCCTAAGAAAAAAATTTGTTGAAAACATATCCCTCGATAACTTATGTGTGAATAGTATGGTAATATGCACACGCCGACCTGATAACTAACGTACAAACATCACAATAACTTTTTGAGGGGGAGAGGGGGTTGTTGAAAACATACCCTGGTAAATTATGTGATACTACCATGGTAATTTACGCATCGTAAAGCTGATAACTCATGTACAAACACCATGATAAGTTTTGACCCGAAAAAGTAGTTGTTGAGAAAATACCCCATGATAACTTATGTCTAAATCGCATGCTAATACATGCAACGCACACCTGATAAATTATGCATAAACACAACGATAACCTTTGAAGGGTGCAATTGTTGAAAACATATCCCTGGTAAATTCTGTGTAACTAGCATGATAATTTATGCATCGCAGAGTTGATAACTCACACACAAACACTGTGGTAAGTTTTGACCCAGAAAAATAGTTGTTGAAACCAATAGTCCACGGTAACTTTTGTGTAAATTGCATGCTAACATACTCGCATACCTAATAACTTAGGCACATACATGACGGTAACTTATAGCCGGTCAAAAAGTTGTTGAAATACACACACCGATAAGTTGTATATAAATAGGATGATAATATACATACACCAAACATGATAACTCATGCACAAACACTGCAATAGCTTTTTTGAACGGAAAAAAGGTTGTTGAGAAATATATTCTGACAACTTGTGTGTAAGTAGCATGGTAATATATACACAATGAAGGTGATAACTCACATACAAGGCACGGTAACTTTTTGACTCGATGAACACACCTGATAACTTCATAACTTCTGTGTAAATAACATGGTAATATATGTACAACATAGATGATAACTCATGTAGAAACACCACGGCCCGACACACGCCTAAATGAGCCTGGCATGGCACGACCCGCAATGTTCCGTTTATAAGCGGGCCATGCCACGTCAGCATGTCAACCTCACCCGGCCCAGGCACGACGTCGATGGTAGATGGTGGTATTGCATACATGATAAATTTACTTACAAATCATGTGGCATCTTTCGACTCAGGCAGAAAATGTAGTTGAAACATACCCAGATAACTTCCTGTAAACAACATGATAAGTTATATATTGTAGGTATGATAGTTTACGTAGTCCGGGCGTGATAACTTTCAACCTGAAAAAAAAAGTCATCGGAACATACCAACATGGGATCTAGTTTCAAAGGTCCCGTCGCGGCGAATCTTTTATGTGAAAATAATTTTTCAATCCGGCCGACGGTTTGACCTATAAAACATTTTAAGTTCTCAGTTTTTGAAAAGAATCTATTGACATCATCTGTTTTGTTTTTTCCTGCATGCATCTAATTAGGAGCTTCTAACCCTCGCGTGCATGCAAACTGGTCAGTGTTTAATTTTGTTAGCCGGGTGAGAGATGCGGGGCTGCATGCAATGGGATTAGCGATATGAGGAATCGCGCGCATGGAGGAATGGAGCGATTCGTTCGGATCTATTCCTATAGTCAGAACGTTTGGAATATATAACAGTCCGTCCATTAGTATTATATCATGGTTTCTTAATCTAGGAGCATAGGTTCCACTAAATATGTTTATGATTTGTCGTTAGGGGCGCTTCATGCCTATAAATAGAGGCCAGATCCTTAGTTTTGTAACACACTCCTGTACATTTTACCTATGAACTGAATTCTCCTTGTTGTGGATATTATATTGCACTCCTATCTGAAAGTTTTGGATTACACAGCTTACGCTCCTGTGACCACATGTGTATTACAACAGTTGAAGTTATCCCGTATGTTGTGTTGTCTATTTTTGTGGCAACAGTGCACACAGTTCACTGATATGGGTGTCATGAATGTGCTGTCAATCTGATATTTCTTCTCTGATCTGGTGTTGAGATTGAGTAGGATCACTTTAGTTACCCAACTTTTGGAGCTCATAAGCGAAGATATTTCCCTTTGATATCAGTTATCCAAGACCTGTCCTGCAGCACCTCCAGCATGGTCTGCCTCCTCCTGGTCCACCTAAGAACAAGACTGTAGAGTTCAGGAGTGTTCTCGATGGCCGCTTTGACCGTCTAGCCATCAATCTTCCCAAAAAACTCTGCTTGAGAATGTAGTCAGAAATCCATAATAGAGTCCGACCACAATGACCGAATTAATTATCCTCATCGAGAAACTTAGACTACTAAATAGAAAAGATTTGAAAATCATGGCATGGGTCTCCTTTTTTTCTTTCTTTAGAGTTTTCTATATGCACAATTTCTCGATGTTTCGATGAGAATTTCTTGACTTTCCATATATAGAAAGAGATAGACTATAAATTACATCTCTTATGTCAATAAGACCAAAGGGATGGATATTAAATGATAGGAAGTGCTAGGAAGTGAAATAGAATGAAATAGAGCCACTTTGGGCTTCCCTATGAAATGAGGCATGGAACAGAGCCACTACGAAGAAATTATGGGAGTTACGAAAGAAGCTTCTTCCTGTCGCCAACCCCTAACTTGGTCTATGCAGCTCGCACCGCTCATGTTTGGAGAATTGAATGTCAAGCTCTCACGAGCGGCGGAAAGGGTCTGTACCATCCTTGAAACCCAACACACCCTCAGACTGATCATGGTCTTGGACAGCTCATGGATGCTGAGGCCTCCAGACTTCATCGGGTGATGATCCTTGTTCCAGTTGACGTGGCAGTGATCGCCGTGTGCAGCTGCTCTGCCTATCCAAAGGAGAACCCCTAATAATCTTATCCATCTGCTTCTGCACCTCCTTGTAGACGCCCATCACCTTGATATATTTGGGAAAAGTATTTACTAATAAGGAAAATAAGGTAATGATTGGGGAGAGTTACAAAGTGTGTTTTATTTGAAACCTTAGTTGCTATTCATCACTTGCTCCTGATTGCTGATTTGTATTGCCTAGCGCTATATCATTGGCTGTCCCTAGCACAGTAGCACTCATCACTGCCGCTGTTCTGTTTCCACAACCACCGTGATGCCATTTCCTTATTGCTCCTGGTCTTTGCTGCCGTTGTGTTTTAGCGGAATTCATGTGAGAGGAAACTCGATGATGACTGGACAGTTGGCGCTTTCCTGATCTTCTACTTATCCACAGTTTGTAAATGTGCTCAGAGCATGAATATACCTGCGCACCAAAGTGGAGTTAACACCTGCCAAATTTAACTAGAAAAGTGATGCCCCCAGTTTACCTTACCTTAGATTGGTTATGCGAATAAATATTTAGGATATTTCATTTGGAGCTTCATGATAAGCAAGAATATATGCAGGTACATTGAGCCTCTTCCATCAGATGCTGAAGGTAAATTTGAATTTGACAACATGATTATTGGACAAGCAATTCCGTCCAACTTTATACCAGCGATTGAAAAGGGTTTCAAGGAGGCTTGCAATTCGTGAGTCTATCTCTTCCACACTAGTTCAGCTATTCCGCATTTTGTTTGTGGTGTTAATTTTTGTTTGCATGTTGGCTATTGCAGGGGTTCATTAATAGGGCATCCTGTCGAGAATATTAGGATTACACTGACTGATGGGGCTTCACATCAAGTCGATTCCAGTGAGCTTGCGTTTAAGCTAGCTGCTATCTATGCTTTTAGACAGGTGAGCGCAGTCGCTTTCCTGTGGGGGCAAATGTCATTTCTAGTGATTGTTGCACTACTACAATGCAAATGCAAGCGTTATTCATAAACTTGTTTTTTTTTCAGTGTTATACTGCTGCTAAACCTGTTATATTAGAGCCTGTGATGAAGGTGGAACTAAAATTTCCAACAGAGTTTCAGGGCACAGTAACTGGTGACATAAACAAGTGAGTTTTTTTATGCCAACAAGCTATGCTTGTACTGAGATGTATGGTTAGTGGATGATTCATGATGTCACTCTAAATTTTCCTATTCTACTCAAGAAATGCAGATACTTGCATGCAATTCACTTTAAAAGGATAATTGCCTCCTTAGCACCTGAAAAGGCACAATTTGCTGGAATACCATAGGCCATGGTAGTGATAAATTGGTTCTGGAATCAGAACATATTGTCACCTTGTGATATTCTGGCAAACTGACTAACATGGGTGCTATTGGATTTTATTTTTGTACACTCATCAATTCAATCCTTCAAACCATACTAAGTATATCTCTTTTGTTTGGTGTGGTAAACAGGAGAAAAGGTATTATTGTTGGAAATGACCAGGAAGGCGATGACACAGTTGTAGTATGCCATGTACGTAAGCCTTGTTCCTTTTGGTTTCTTGCCTCATGTAGCACAGATAATAGTACAGTATTGTCTTGTGATAAACTGACAGATTTAATAGTTGTATTAGTCATGAGTGGTTCTAGTAATCGATGTTGGTATCTTTGGCTTTTCTGTAGTTTGTAGCGATAAGTGTCTAATAGAACAACTGAAGCGTTACGAAATCAATTGCAGTATTACCCTCGTAACATTAAAAATATGCTTTCTATTGGGTGAGTCGGTGACGGGTTACGGGTTGGAGGTTCCACTAATCTACACGAACAACAGCCAGGACAACATTTTTCGACTAATAAACCTCACTTTAGAACCTTTACCATTTGTCCTACTCGGCACCACAATAAACATGTCAGATCAGTAGACTATAAGAGGAACAGGTATATTGTGAAATTCATAATGTAGATGTCCATGTTAAGGCCAATTACCTTGTGCATTGTTATTGGACTTAGCCTCTCGTCCTGCTCTCTTTCAGGTTCCACTAAACAATATGTTTGGATATTCGACAGCGCTTCGCTCAATGACACAGGTAATATTTTGTTCTTCTTCACGACTCCTGATGTTCATTCTAGAACTTTTGTTTGGGCAATAAGCATGACCATTCATATGCTTTTTATCCTTATTCTTCACCCGACGCATTCTTTGCAAAGAAGTTACCGTTCAAGATGCTCTCCATCCTTATTGTTTACTTGGCACGTTCTTCACTGTGTAGTCTGCGGCAGCAATGTTCTGCTACAGAAGTATTGATATTCTGCTACACGCATGGGTGATACCTGCCATATGGGAGGAAATAAGAACTTGTATTTCCTGGAGGCTAAGGGCCAGTATCAATATACAAAGCTTTATAACAATGGGGAATATCACATCCTATACACGGAACTAGTATATTATCTCTAACATCAAAAGTGTATGGTGAAAGTATCAAAAATTGTGGAGAAAACCAAGAGATGTCCTGGATGTGATGTAGCGCACATGTCCAAACCTAACATCAAATTCAGTCTTGGTTGCAAGAGCTATAGAAGACAATTGATGCCTCTACTTCATAGTCGACAGTTTCTCTTCCCACAGTTCAATTACGTGTGATCGTGCAGTCAACGCAGGGTGTTGTGGACCTATGTGGCAGTTGAGGCACCAAATTAATCCAGCAATTCCAAAACTAAAGGAAGTACAAATAATTATTTTCTGTTCGTATAAACTTCCTTATTTATTTGCCCACAAGTGAACATGGATACATCTTTCGATGAACTTCTCTTTTTTCGGTTCCAGTTTTGTGTTCATTTGATATGATAGTCAATCCCAGTAGAATACATCATATCACCCAAGTTAGCCCTTTTTCTGATACGTCCTTGCAATTAGTTCATTGCGCTCTGCATGCACTTTTTACATACACATCACGAAAATTACATCAGTGTGCCTCCAGTTGTTGGAGATAGACATCATTGTACATTTTATTTATGTTTTATCAGTATTTTGTTATGCTGGAATGGAAATATTTGAAATCTACCTTAAAATAGAACCAATGCTATCACTTATCAGTCATTGCCTGGTCATCAATCTGGCCAGCTGTCTGAGGTCTCGGCACACTGGGTCACTGGTTGTACTTGGGTCATCGGTTGGACCATGGTTGTACTTTAAATATTTTTCATTATATATAGGTTAAAAGTGGTTTGTGTGTCTGGTTATCCCTGTTTGATCTGGTTCGAGGGCAGTCTGGGTTTGAATAGAGAAGATTTCACTGTGTTCTTTCACAATACCTCTTTTGTGCACAATAAATTTTCTGGCACAAACTATTTCTATTTAGGTTCGCTACTTGAAATGCTCAATTATTGAATAGTTTATATTGGGAAGTCATCTATAGAACATGTTCTCCGAGAGCATATATGCATTTGTTTACTTACCGTAATAGCATAGCTTAATGTACAGCAATATTGCTATAGGACAAGTCCGAGGCCCCACCAGTGAGCTGTGAGAACTGTTTGGTTCTGGTGTTTCTGTGAATGTCATTTAGGTAGGTATTAGTGTTGTGGTGAAGGTGCCATATTGCTATAAAAAAAGTTCGAAGCCTCATCACGGAGCTGTGAGAGCTGCTTGATTTCTTATGGTCTACTCTCTTCTCTCGTCCACATGTTTATTCAACCTTTCATGGTACTACAATGCAGTTTCATACATAGTCATTAAATACCCACCTGTTTTATAAACCCATGACACCCCTATCTTTCAAGTCTTTGGTTTGGCATTAAAAGGAAAGGTTGTCAAAAAAATAGAAAGTAAAAACAAACTAGCATGGCGGTGTTCCTAATTAATTCCTTGCTTAACTTTTGGTTCATGTACTGCAGGGAAAAGGCGAGTTTACAATGGAGTATATGGAGCATAATACTGTCTCACAGGATGTACAGATGCAGCTTGTGAATGCACATAAGGCCACTAAGAGCACAGACTGATTCTTCTGAAGCACAGAGAAAACAAATTTTGATTCCATTATATTCGTTAACTTTTGTTTTCACTGTCCCTCAAGTGATGAGCTAGGACATCACTAATAGGCTATATTTGTAGAATTACATGCGATGGTCAGCACAGGAATAGGTGTGTTGTAATAATCTCGAAACCCTTGGTACAAGTTCACATGAATATTGTAGGCCAGGATTGTTATGGAGAAACAGCAAAGTTATAGCGCCCTTGAAAGTTTTTATCTTTCCAAATGTATGGACTGACCATGAAGAAAGATTTCTTCCCATTTTTTGACCAGTCTTGTAACCAGCCACCAGATCTGACCGAGAGAGATACAGGAAACACCATTAAACACAATGCTATTTCTGTGTTTCTGCAGGGTCCAAAGAATAGCAGCACAAAAAGTATTTAGAGTGGCCTACCAAAAAATTCACCAACTTTACTCCAAACCTGTCAAGCTACAATGCAATCAAAGAACAAATGCTGGATAGTTTCATCGCAAGAAAAAAAGACACTCTTCAGGTCTTGGCTTCCCGAGTATTCTCTTATACCACTATTGAACAGGCCCCTTAGAAGCGCCCCCCTTGGAAGATGAACAACTAGATGCACCATTATATCGAAGAAAATAGGTGGGAAGATCTCAAGATTGCAAAGAATTTCAGAAATTTCACGCTCCAATCGTTTCACAACTTCTATTCTTAATGTCTTGCACACAACTCCTTAAAAAGTCTACCTAGTTCAGCGATAGTCGCATACATCCCCTTTGGGGGCGATGCCTCTAAGACCAACTAGTAAGATACTTCATAGAAGTATGTGGTAATCATGCGTCTTCAAACCATGTATTTTACTAGTCTCGGCATCCACATGTGTTGCTAGGTTTGCAACATGACCATTTGAGAATTTGATGTTAGCCAAAACTTGCACAACCTTTTCTTACCTTCCTTACTAAGCGTCCAGGGTGCAGGGAATGTCTTGTAAGAATTTTTCTTTTTGGGTATTCTTTCGACCAATAGGCCTCCCTGCTTTTGAAACAATGTAAATCAACTCTTGTGTTGATGGTATCCTTATTCATACCACCAAGTTCAGGAAGTGTATCAATGATATTCTCACATATGTTCTTTTCAATGTGCATCACATCTAGGTTGTAAGGTAACATGAGATTCTTCCAGTATGGCAATTCATACAAGCTCACTTTTAGGTGCCATCAAGGATTGAAAGCACATTTGCTCCCTTGGTGGTTTTGGTAATTCATGCCAACATACATATTGTTGGACTAGCATTTTCATCTAGTATATTTCAGAAAAGTTCAACATTGGCATGGCAAGGACATGAGATTGTGGACCCATTCAAAATACTAAGGACATGGATTGGCAAAGCTTCAAGACTTTACATTTTTTTGGTTAAGTGATCCAAGATCACATTGTGTCAATAGGAAAGCCAATACTATTAAAAGGGGATGAGGTTTTGATCATGATTCAATTGCTCAAGTGCTCGATGATATTGCTCCAAAAACCCTCAACTACTTTCTCCAAATCACTATTATCCAAACCCTTAAAAGCCAACTTGGTCCCACCGAAAAGATACCATATGGACTCACCAGTTGATCCTATACATTGCCACAATCAAACCCTAGAGTTTCGATCCCACCGAGATGACGATCGGTCCCATCGATTTGCACTAACCAAGTTTTTGTAACCTTGTCGCTTCGCTTTGAAATTACCGAGTTGAAATGATCGGATTAACGAAACGCGGTCTCGCTTAGGTCATCACATATCGGTCCCACCGAGATTCTCACTTCGGTCCTACTGAAAAAGCCCAAAGTTCAAATCCTTTACACGGGTCGGTCTCAGTGAGATTTTGGATTGGTGTCACCGAGTTGAGTCAAAAGACTTGTAATGGTTGGATTTTTGGGTCAAGGCTATTTATACCCCTCCACCCCACCTACTCTCTAAGAGAGCCATTACAACGAAACTACACTTTCACCATTCATTTTCTGGGAGAGAACCACCTGCTAATGTGTTGAGATCAAGGCATTCCAACCCATCCATTTGAACCTTGATTTCTAGCCTCCTCAAGTTACTTTCCACTCCAAGCCTTCTCCTACCAAAGCCAAATCTGTGAGAGAGTGATTGAGTGTTGAGGAGACTATCATTTGAAGCACAAGAGTAAGGAGTTCATCATCAACTACACCATCTATTACCTTTTGGAGAGTGTTGTCTCCTAGATTGGTTAGGTGCCACTTGGGAGCTGTAACACCCCGGATGTAACTTGCCATATTTGTAACTCCGACTCTTGCCATTTTCAGCTTTATGTTATGAGATTCTCTTCGTGGTTGGGTTTTTGTCTTTCGTTTTGCATTTTGTTCTTGTCATGCATTTCATATCATGTCATCATGTGCATCGCATTTGCATTCGTGTTCGTCTCATGCATCCGAGCATTTTCCCCATTGTCCGTTTTGCAATCCGACACTCCCACATGCACCCGGCGCACCCCTTTTGTCTCTTTTCATGAGCGGGAGAAAAATGTTCTCGGAATAGGCCGAGATTTGTCAAGTGGCCTTGGTACATCACCGGTAGACCGCCTGTCAAATTTCGTTCCATTTGGAGGTCGTTTGATGCCCCAACGGTTAACCGGGTAATCGCAAAAGCCTCTTTTGTGTTCCAGCCCAACACCCCTACAAAACAACCCAATAACCCATCTAAACCACCTCCATGTTCTCCGTCGTTGGATCACGATCGTGTGGGCGAAAACCGCACCTCATTTGGTGTTGGGGAACGCAGTAATTTCAAAAAAATTCCTACGCACACGCAAGATCATCGTGATGCATAGCAACGAGAGGGAAGAGTGCCGTCCATGTACCCTCATAGACCGTAAGCGGAAGCGTTATGACAATGCGGTTGATGCAGTCGTACGTCTTCATGATCGACCGATCCCTAGTACCAAACATACGACACCTCCGCGATCTGCACACGTTCAGCTTGGTGACGTCCCGCGAACTCACGATCCAGTAGAGCTTCGAGGGAGAGTTTCGTCAGCACGACGGCGTGATGATGGTGACAATGATGCTACCGGAACAGGGCTTCGCCTAAGCACCGCTACAATATAACTGAGGTGGATTATGGTGGAGGGGGGCACCGCACATGGCTAAAAGATCAATGATCAACTTGTGTGTCCATGGGGTGCCCCCCTCCCTCGTATATAAAGGAGTGGAGGAGGGGGAGGGCCGGTCCTCTCTATGGCACGCCTTGGGGGAGTCCTACTCCCTCTGGGAGTAGGATTCCCCCCTTTCCTAGTAGAATTAGGAACCCTTCCAACTAGGAGTAGGAGAGGAAGGAAGGAAGAGAGAGGGAGGAAGGAAAGGGGGGTCGTCCCCCCTCCCAATTCGGATTGGGCTTGGGGGGCGTGCCTCCCTCTTTTCCCTTCCCTCTCCTCTATTCCACCAAGGCCCAATAAGGCCCATATACTCCCCGAGGGGTTCCGGTAACCTCCCGGTACTCCGGAAAAATGCCCGAACCACTCGGAACCATTCCGATGTCCAAATATAGGCTTCCAATATATCGATCTTTACATCTCGACCATTTCGAGACTCCTCGTCATGTCCGTGATCAAATCTGGGACTCCGAACTACCTTCGGTACATCAAAACACATAAACTTGTAATATCGATCGTCACCGAACGTTAAGCGTGCGGACCCTACGGGTTCGAGAACTATGTAGACATGACTGAGACTCATCTCTGATCAATAACCAATAGCGGAACCTGGATGCTCATATTGGTTCCTACATATTTTACGAATATCTTTATCGGTCAAACCGCATAACGGTATACGTTGTTCCCTTTGTCATCGGTATGTTTCGATCGTTGGTATCTCAATACATAGTTCAATCTCGTTACCGACAAGTCTCTTCACTCGTTCCGTAATGCTACATCTTGTAACTAACTCATTAGCTACATTGCTTGCAAGGCTTATAGTGATGTGCATTACCGAGAGGGCCTAGAGATACCTCTCCGATAATCGGAGTGACAAATCCTAATCTTGATCCATGCCAACTCAACAAACACCATCGGAGACACCTGTAGAGCACCTTTATAATCACCCAGTTACGTTGTGACGTTTGGTAGCACACAAAGTGTTCCTCAGGTATTCGGGAGTTGCATGATCTCATAGTCATAGGAACATGTATAGTTATGGAAAAAGCAATAGCAACAAAACAAAAATGATCATCGTGCTAAGCTAACGGATGGGTCAATTCAATGATGTGATCCCGTTAATCAAATGACAACTCATGTCTATGGTTAGGAAACATAACCATCATTGATTCAACGAGCTAGTCAAGTAGAGGCAAACTAGTGACACCCTGTTTGTCTATGTATTCACACATGTACTAAGTTTCCGGTTAATACAATTCTAGCATGAATAATAAACATTTATCATGATATAAGGAAATATAAATAACAACTTATTAGTGCCTCTAGGGCATATTTCCTTTAGTCTCCCACTTGCACTAGAGTCAATAATCTAGATTACATTGTAATGATTCTAACACCCGTGGAGTCTTGGTGCTGATCATGTTTTGCTCGTGAGAGAGGCTTAGTCAACGGGTCTGCAACATTCAGATCCGTATGTATCTTGCAAATCTCTATGTCTCCCTACTTGACTTGATCGCGGATGGAATTGAAGCGTCTCTTGATGTGTTTGGTTCTCTTGTGAAATCTGGATTCCTTTGCCAAGGCAATTGCACCAGCATTGTCACAAAAGATTTTCATTGGACCTGATGCACTAGGTATGACACCTAGATCGGATATGAACTCCTTCATCTGCTGCTTGTGAAGCAGCTATGTATTCCGCTTCACACATAGATCCCGCCACGACGCTCTGCTTGGAATCGCACCAACTAACAGCTCCACCATTTAATAAAAATACGTATCCGGTTTGTGACTTAGAGTCATCCAGATCAGTGTCAAAGCTTGCATCGACGTAACCATTTATGAC